CTCATCCCTCCTCCTCCTCCTTCTCCTCTTCCTCCTCCTCCTCCTCCCCCTCCTCCTCACTCTTCCATTATGGTCACGATTTGTTTCTGGCCAGCGGCAACACACCCATGCCGACACACTTGCAAAGCGAGGTGCGCGGATGCACCCTCGGGATGCGCACGCCGATAGGCGGGTCCAGCAGGCTCGGTGGGGCGATCGCGCATTGTTTGGCTGAGCTCACGCTGCCTTTGGGCCCCGAAGAGGGTCTGAAATCCTCGGTTTGCTCCTGCAGTTGCCCTGGTGGCCCAGGCCGGGGTCACTCCACTCCGCACTTTGTAGTGCACGGCCCTGCCACCCTGCAGACACGCGTGCACGTAGCGTCGGTCTTCCAGTGGGCGCCGAGGGGAGCTGGCAAAGCAGCCATGCCCTGTGCCACATGGGACTGGTCACGTTGTGCGACGAGTGGGGCGATTTGTATTCTGGCGCCCATGAGGAGCCCACTCGTCGACCGACGTATCCCACCTCACTGGGACTTGCCCCGAGAAACCTTCACGTGGAGTTCGGAAGTGTCGCCTCCACCACTTGATGGACGGGCGACACCCTGGGACAGGATCCATAATTGGTGACGTGTACCTTTCAAGGTGCGTAACCATAATTGGGGAACTACGGGGAACTACCTTTCAAGGTACGCAACTTCGTGTTAGTCGTTGGTCCCTGACCATGATCCCTGGTTCCTGTTTTGTTCTTATTGCTCCTGTGTTCGTGGGACGTGCTGGCCTCGTGGCGCGCCACACCCAGAATCACAGAACTCCCTCCTCCTCCCTCCTCCCTCATCCTCCCTCCTCCTTGCTCCTCCTCCTCCTCCTCCGCCTCCTCCTCCTCCCTCCTCTCTCTCTCTCTACCAAACTCATCCTCCTCATCCCTTCTCCTCCTCCCCCTCTTCCCCCCTTAATAGTTCCTCCTCCTCCTCTCCTTCCTCCCCTTCCTCCCCCCCTCCTCCTCCTTTTCCTCCTGCTCCTCCCTTTCCTCCTGCTCCTGCTCCTCCTCCTCCTCCTCCTCATCCTCCATCCCTTGTCCTTATAAAGGATACCTCCCTGTCGCACCCCGAGACGTGTCGGTAGGGCGGGTTGGGGGGTTCGTATGAGACTTCCTCAGCATTGACGATCCCTACGCCGAAAAAATGCAGGTGTTTCACGGATTGGGGGCGGGCGGTTTTCAGGATGTGGCTCTCGTTTTAGCGCCGCGCACATTCGTTGCAAAAGTTCGCAAGAGCTTCACGGATGGAGGGCGGGCGGTTTTCAAGATGAGGTTCTCGTTTCAGCGCCGCGTACATTCGTTGTAAAAGTTTGCAAGAGTTCACAATGTTTCACCGATAGAGGGCGGTACCTTTTCAACATGTGGCGTCCCAGAAATGATGGCTTTCGCACGATGTAGGTTACGTTGATTTGCCGCGTTGTTGCCGTCCATGTAATGGCGCTCTGGCCCGATTCAGGATCGTTAAAACGCAACAGTAATGTTGATTCGCGGCGTTGATGTCCCAGGAACGGTGTTCTGGCGCGGCTCGGGATTTTCAGACAGTTGTCTTTCAACGGGGCATTTCCCTCAGTGACAATGAATCCTTGTACGCAGAATCCAATGATGAGGGAACTTGGAGGGAGGGTTTATTGAAACATCTTTGGTGGGTCTTGGGTTTACACTGGTCCTCCTCCTCCTCCTTCTCCCTCCTCCTCCTCCTCCTCCTCCTCCTCCTCCTCCCTCCTCCTCCTCCTTCCCCCTCGTCCTCCTCCTCCTTCTCCCTTCTCCTCCCTCCCCCTTCTCCTCCCTCCTCCTCATCCCTTCTCCTCCCTCCCCCTCCTTCACCTCATCCATCCTCCACATCTATTATCCTCCCATCCTCGTTTTCTTCCTCGTCCTCCTCCTCCTCCTCCTCCTCCTCCTCCTCCTCCTCCTCCTCCTCCTCATTGCGTCGATGCATGCCGGTGCGGAGACGACGCCAGAGAGCAGCAGCGACCAGCTCACAGCAGAAGGTGGGGCGGAAGAGGAAGGGTGGGGCGTTTCTCCTCCTCCTCCTCCTCCTCCTCCTCCTCCTCCTCCTCCTCCTCCTCGTCCTTATCCCCCCTCGTCCTCCTCATCCTCCTCCTTCTTCTCCTCCTCCCTGTGACGGCGGCGGCGACGGCGACGGCGATGATGACGACGACGACGACGGCCGAGAGGCTCCGAGAACGACTCCGCGGGCCCAGCCCAGAGCATAAAAAGCCCTGGTGGCACAACGTTCTGCTGGGACTGGAGCCCCCTCTGGCGCCGCCTCTGGCGCCCAGGGGGCAGGGCCCAGCGCCGAAGCAAGAGAGTCCGTGCGGAGTTGGCAGTGTATTCTGCATTTTTCGGCCAGTTCTCTTCCGCTACAGAGGGAGGACGAACCCAGAGATCCGACGCGCCAACAAAAAACGGAGTGGCGGATTTTGGGCGGTTTTCGGCCTCGGGGGGCCCTCGCCAGGCCTCGGGACCGTCGAAAACCGACTCA